AGTTTTTCCCATCTAGTTCCCACATAGTTTTTCCCATCTAGTTCCCACATAGTTTTTCCCATCTTCTTCCCACAAGTTTTTCCCATCTAGTTCCCACATAGTTTTTTCCATATACTTCCACTTGTGTGAAGATAGCTCCCCTAAAGACTTTGTTAATAACTTTTTAACTAGAGGTGTGTAAACGAAAATTCGACCTGTTCGGAAAAGTGCAAACAAAATTCTATCGAATAAATACCATTTTAAGCACAACATTCTTGTTTCTATTTCATCTGCCGATGTCACTCGCTTCTGAAACTTTAATTGTTAATAACTTTTTAACTAGAGGTGTGCAAACGAAAAATCGACCTATTTGGCAATGTGCAAACGAATATCTATTATTTAACTCAATTGAGCTATTTTTTATTTAATTTACTCATAGTTGGGGTCCTAGTGTGAAGATGGCCCCCCGAAATTTGTTTTGTTAATAACTTTTTTACTAGAAGTGTGCAAACGAAAATTCGAAATGTGCATACATGTACAAATGATGAGCAATCGAATGAGCTATAGAAACTTTATGTTTTTCAATGTTGGGGGGCTATTTTTACACAGGTGAAAAATTATCATTTTCACCTCAACCATTATCTTTTATAGATCCGAATATAGACAGACAGATCAATAGATCAACAAATCAAAAGAGTATCTTACGGATTGAATTTGAAGAGGTTTTCCATTTCTTGGAAAAAAATTATGCATCAGGATATGCGGAATAGAGTGCGATCTTGGAAGATCGGTAAAAGACGTAATTATACGTAATTACTTTAATAATAATATTCATTAATATAATAAATGTAAATATTAGTTTCTTTAATATAGTAAACATAAATATTATTTTAAAAATAAGGAAAAGATAAAACTTTTTGTGTCTTCAGTTACATAAGCGAAGTATATTTGATTTTAATGTGTTAATAAACTAGTAAAAAGATTATATTGTTTAACATTAAATATGGTGATATATAATATTTTTAATATAATAGTAATATAATATATAAATTATGTTAATTAATTGTAATATAATATATGAATTATGTTTTATAAATATATTATGCTAATAAGATTAATGAATAATTTATAGGATTTATTTCTTTGTACATTGTTACATATAAGATATTATTTCATTAATCTTATTACAACTTTTACTAATGGTATATTATATTGAAGATTAGACGCTCTATTTTATTAAATACATATCATTGATATAAATTCTTGATTTGAATATTTACATTATGATTTTTCAATTGTTTTAGCGAAAGGTTGCCTATATTTTTCAGAGAATGAAGATTCAGAGGATGAGTGCTAACCAAATTTGAAACCTTCTCAATTAATTAAAAAAATTATTAAAATAACAACAAAAGTTTATATTCATGTATTATTTCATTGTTAAAACTTGTATAAATTAAAAAAGAAAATATCAAGAAAGTATTCAACTTAGATTTACGCGAAGGTTCCATCGTACCTTATATAAGAACATTTCATCCCAATCTAAAAATTCAGAATAAAAATTAAATACAATGCACAATGAATATATTATATTCATAAATAAGTATAAAATATAGTCATATTTACGTATAAAATATAGTTATATGTTACGTTTAATTTTTATTCTGAATTCTTAGATTGGGATCAAATGTTCTTTTAATTTATAAAAATATTTAAATTAAAAATATATATATATATATATATGTTTTTTTTCTATTAAAATATTTTTATAAATATATAAAGAACGAGAGTCCAGTAGAAATATTTTTCGTTCTTTTCAGAATATATTCTAAAAAAGTCTTTATGATTAAAAAACTATTTATATATTAAAACACAATTCCTAGATTAAAATATACACAACGTAAAAAGTCTTTATGATTAAAAACCTATTTTATATATATATATATATATATATATATATATATATATATATAATAACTAACTAA